CTATTACCAAGGTAGGCTGAATGGACGTCAGTGAGGAGACAGGGGTCATGGTGTAAGGAAAGTACAGTGATTTCTACTGTGGAACAATGATGTCATTTCCAAGGCTTGGTCTTCTTGTATCCTCATAGTTCTGGTTGGGAATTGAGATATAAATATGCTAAACCAGGTGTAGAATCTCTGAATGTTGGTGTGAGAATCATGGGATGAGTAGGATGCGTTAGAGGTAACTCAGGTGTCATTAGAAAAGAGACTTTGCTTCCCATAATCATGGACTTTGAATGCCCCCTTAGCCCTTCAAGATGATTCCTGCTGTGGTGGATGGGGCCTTCCTACCTAGGCACCCCCAGGAGCTTCTGGCTTCTGCTGATTTTCAACCTGTTCCAAGCATCATTGGTGTCACCAATGATGAGTATGGCTGGCTCCTTCCCATGGTGAGTCCCCTCTTCAAACCTATATAAGAGTGTCAGGTGGGAGCCGGTTTAGACTTCGTACCTCCTAGTCATCTCACCCCCAACTCTAGACTATCTTTTCACCACACAGTACTTGGGCCCCCCTGAAATCCAGAACGACATAGACAGAGAGACCATGCGAGCTGTTCTGCAGAGAATATCAACACAGAGGGTGAGACTCCTGGGGTCCTGGTCCAGGCAAGAGTGCAGCAAGACACTCTTCCTTTTCAGTAATGCACAGGAACAAAAGTTGATCTATGTAAATTTGTGAGTGGGGCCACAATGACATCATTGCCCTATTCCCTGAAACATCCCAAACACCAATCCCTGCCCTCTAGCTCCTGCCTCCCTGCCCCAGAGATTGCCTAACCTGACTCTCCCTGGTCACCTGGACTAGATGAAGTTGCCTGCCGAATGTGCTGACCTGTTGATGGAGGAGTACATGGGAGACAACGAGGACCCCCACACCCTCCGACTCCAGTTCCAGGAGATGATGGCGGACTTCATGTTTGTGATGCCTGCACTCCAAGTAGCACATGATCAGAGTGAGTGTATCTGAACCTGAATGCTGGCTTCCTAGGAGACAGCTGAGAGCTGTGGGTCCCAGGTGAGGTCTGGTGTCAGGTCCTGACACATGTCTTTTTTCCAGACACTGTTCCCAGGCACCTGAAGGCCCTCATCCCAGTAAATCCTTATGGCTAGAGTGAGACATAGACATCACACACATTTTACAGAGGAGGGAAATAAGATAGTGGCATTCAAGCACTTGCCTGTCACCATACAGCCAGGAAGTCCAAGACATGACTTAACAAAGTCCTTCTAACTGCCTCTGATCCATTCTGGGCTTCCAAGCCACTGTGAAGATTCAAGCCAGCTTTGGACCTAGCAATCTTGTCCCCAAGAGTGACACATCCTGTCCACCCTCCAGGTTCCCATGCTCCTGTCTATTTCTATGAGTTCCAGCATCCACCCAGCTTCATTAAGGACCTGAGGCCTCCACACGTGAAGGCTGACCATGGTGATGAGTGCATCTTTGTTTTTGGATCCTACATCAATGGCATCAGAGGTGAGTTCTCCTTGTTCCACAGGAGCATTCTCATGCGTACAGGGTGGCAGTCACTCTCATGGTACAATGAGGAACTGGGGTAAGGGAGAACATGGGATCCAGTGTCTACCATCTTAAAACTCAACAGATTATTCCAGGATTAGACCTTTCCCAGTCTAATCTATGCTCCTTTCTACCTGTTCTCACATCAAACATGGTATCTAGCATAGGAGAAGAGGGGGCTGGGTAAAAGCCAAATCATTTCTTAAATGACTTCACAGTGTCCAAATAAGGAAATTTCTATGCCAAAGAGGAGCCCAGTGTTGATTCAGTTAAAGGCTGGGAGTAGTAAAGGCAGGTTAGGCAAGCAGAGGCCCTGGCCCCAGGACTGTTGTGATAGGGAAGGGACACAAGTCTGGGGCTGGGGTGGTGAGTGTGGCACAGGAGTGGACAGCTGGATGGGGTTGGCCAGGACCTGGACCATTGCTTCTTCCTCCCACAGTTGAGCTCACTGAGGAGGAGGAGCTGCTGAAAAGGAGGATGATGAAGTACTGGGGCAACTTTGCTCGAAATGGGTGAGAAAATCTGCCTGGGGGCACGGGCCCTCCACTGTTCCCCTTGTCTGAAGTGACCCTATTAGCTATTGTGTGTCTTCCTCCATCACATCTTAGCCCTCTACCCAATGGAAAGACCCACACTAAAAGAGGGTGCTTTTTGGGTGCAGGTCACTGTCTCTTCTCACAGTGGTCCAGTGAGCCATAGTGCTGGGCTACCATGGGAGCCAGCTTCTCACAGGGAAGGGCAACACAGGCCAGGTTGCTGTGCCCTGTGTGAAATGACACTATGAGAGGTCATTACTTTCCTACATTAGGACACCTCTCCCCATTCTCAACACCTCTGTGTGCGAGGCTGGCTACCCTGTCCATAACTGGGTTTTAAGGTCAGGTCTGAGTTCAACAGACCTCAGACTGACCCTCGCCCTGCCTTGCTGGGAGGGCATGTGCACAGGAACCCCAACGGAGAAGGTCTACCCCACTGGCCACTGTTCGACCAGGACCAGCAGTACCTGCAGCTGGGCATCCAGCCTGCTGTGGGCCAGGTCAAGAAGGCACACAGGCTGCAGTTCTGGACCAAGACCCTGCCTCAGAAGATCCAGGAGATAATGGGAACTGAGGACAAGCACACAGAATTCTAGTTTCCTTGTCAGCAAGGGAGGGGTGTGCTAGGTGTGATAGGAACTTCCTGTGGTGCCCACACATGCCCATCCAAGAAC